GAATCCCTCACATCCCTCTTGGGCTCAGGTACTTCAACTGCCCGGTCTATCATGCTGGAAAGTCTTCAGCTACCCCTGGCTATTTATCTGAAAGATGAGGACAAGCGAATGAGCGTGGAGAGTGGTGTGGAGAGCAGGATTCTCACTGCAGTAAGTGTCAGAAGCAAGGGGGCTTGGACATACTCTAACCCTTATATAGTGTCGCGCACTCTCTTCGGCTGTTCTCAATATCCTACAAGCATCTTCCCCGCATAATGCCTCGTTCCTACAAACGTTCGAAGATATCATTCACGCGGGTCTAGATTCTTCACACATATCAGTAAGAAGAAGGTTCTATGACTTCTGGAATTCTACCTTCGGTTCACAGAGATTTTTGTCCCGCCCTGAAAGGATAACGCATGCGCTGGAGAGCTTGGAAGCTCTCATCAAACATCAGCAAGCCATCACACCTTTGGAAGAATCGAAGGTATGTCATGTCATAATGAGCGACAGCCAGCTCATGCTCCAGCTCATGCTAACCCTTCGAAGCCTGGAGCTCCGATGAGTACTTTGGACGAACAGGAAACCAAAAACAGCTTTGCGGACATGTCAGTAAAGTCACGGATCTCTTTCATCCTAGACAATCCGGTCGACTCGGGCTTGAACTCGTCGCCTGTAACCGGGGGCTCAGACCGTGCCGTCTCACGAGAGCGCACAAAAGAGCCTCAGCGGGAACGAGCTTTCGAAGCTGACCGTCAGCGTGCCGAGCAACTGGTTGCTGCTTCTCACCCAGACCCTTTTATATCAGGCCCAGAGCACGGTAATAAGCGCAGCGAGTTGTTCTCAATGATTGAAAGCCTCAGGTCTTCTTCACCGCCGAGTAATACACCTAGAGATATCCATTTCATGACACCGCCGCACTTGCGCCACATGCATCACTCGGATACAGATGCAGGGACTCCGCAAACACCCCCTTTGCCGCCTGTGTCGGCAGAGAACGAATATAACTACCTTGGCTCGTCACCGACTCCTATTTCAAGAGGGAGGGCGCAGTTGAGCGACTCACATGTGCCACCACCCCCAAAATCTGCCCCAGAAGCCTCTTTGTTGGACAACGAGCCCCGATCATCACCTCCAGAACTCACCTCACTTCCCGCAGATCGTCACTCGCTTACTCCTGGCCCCCATCCTGGTAAAGAGACACCAGTTGACCTTGAGACACCAACGACCACACCGGGTAAGAGCAAGAAGGCGAAGAAGAAGGCCAGACGCTCTGCCAAGCTCAAGAAGAAATCAAATTCTGAGCTCAATCAGACTGAACACGTCACTCGGGACACTCCAAACGACGTCGCAGACCAGCCTATGACTAAACGCCTCCGCTCTTCTACTGGCAAGACCTCTGAATCTCCTCTGCAATCCACAACCGAGAAGCAACATACAGGAGCTGCCATAGAATCCAGTAAGGAGACACGTCATACGCACTCCACAAGGGCCTCCGCCTCGGCCAACGCCGTCGATTCGAAGACTGGGCCCGACGTGGAGAAGGACTTGCCTCAGAATGTCGAAGTCGTTGAGTCCCAGGCGGAGCAACCCAGCGGTAACTCTGGCTTGTGCAATGATGATGTTGATATGGAAGACCAGGTGTCATCCCAATTGGAGCAAGATCTGGAGCTTGCCGTAGATAAAGATGATGTTGCGGGTGGTGAAGAGTCGATGGAAGCTTTGCATGAGCCTCAACCATCCAGGAAGAGAAAACGTGAGATGGAAGAGCACACACCTCAGAAGAAGGAAAGACGGCGCTCGTCTCGACTCACAAAGACGCCCGCTACGGTTGAGGAAGACGAAGCCGACACCACTCGCTCGAACGAAATCTTGCTAAATACTCACGACCTTGAGTCGTCGCCTGCCGAGTCTGCACCGAAACGACGGAAACATGACACCAGGGCTGAGGCCTCCAGCACGACTAGATCGGTCGCTAACAGTCAAGCATCGGAACCTGTCAGCTCGCAGGACAAGCCTTCAGAGAGTCAAGACAAGTCTCAGAAGAGAAGATCTTCTCGTCTAAGTGGTCAAGCTGCGCCGCCTATACCCGAGGAGAGCCCCGTCCTTCAAAAGAAGTCGAAGAAATCACCTCGGCACTCTCGTCCACGCAAGCAGGACATAGAAATGAACACGGAAACTATACATGAGGAGAGTGATTCCCAGGAGACTACGGCAGAAGACCAGCCAAAGCAGCCAGCGCGTGAGAAGGCGTCCGATCAGCTGGACGATGTTCAAGATGCAATAGATGCTGCGGTGGTTCCCGAGGAAGACCAGGAAACACGCGAGCCTGAGGAGTCGGTACAACCTGCACTCGGAGCTCAGGAGGAAGTCGCCTCAACGACCCGGCCAGTGCCTGTCGAGAATCTGCAGCCCTCGGCAGACAACGACATCCAGATGACCGATGCGCACCCAACCGCAGAAACCGCTCCCGAGCCGCAGAAGACACCATCTTCCAGCGGGGAGAAGCACTCGGAGAAGAAAAAGAAGAAAACCCGCGCCTCATCCCGCGCTGCCACTACTCAAGCAGAAACCAAGGCCTCAACCGAACCGGTCCCGGTTAAGTCCGAGGCGGAAATCGCGAACTCCCTCCGCAAGGTCCTTGACGACGTCAAATTGGCCAAGCTGGACCGGCAATCTCTCAAGGAGATTGACGACCTGTTGTTCGATATTCGGGTGGAGACACATGAGGCAATGCGGAGGAATACGGGTTAGGAAGGTTGAACTTTTCTTGCTTTTTTTGCATAGCGAAGGCGCTTTTTTTTACATGTCCGCGGGGTATCTACTTGTCTTAGGTCCTATATTATACACCCTTATCTTTCGATGCGTCAAAGGGAGGTTGCTTTTGTATCTCTGGCGGAGGATGGGAAAAGATCGAGATTTGTTGTTTTTGCTTCCGGTTTTCTTCCGATTCACCATCCTAGTAGTATATTGTTTTCGCTGCCTTTGTGTACCTGAAAACTCCGATTAGGAAGAAGGTTTTTTGTATTATGGTCCGGGGACTGGGAAACGAAAAAGGTTCCACATTTTTAGGTATATTCTATCTAGGCTTATGAAGGTGGTGAAGAGCAAAGGAGAACAAAAAAAGTGGCAACGCAAAAAAGGATAACGGCCCGAGCCGCGGATCGAACGCGGGACCTCTCGCAGATATGCTTGGGTTTGGAATCCCTAAGCGAGAATCATACCACTAGACCACCCGGGCTTGTTATGATATTTGCAGGTAATTGATGCAATATATCCCAAAACTCTGCTATCAAGTCCAGCTGCCCAGACACCTCCCTAGCCTTGGTGCTCATAGACATACATGACTGTCTTCGAACCTGGCATATTCTCCACTTCAAGACACAATCATGCACTATGCACAAGGCGATGAAGCGCAAACCTCTCTTCTATAGGTGGAGAGTGTGAGTTAACACCGAGAGTGGATACGTCCAGCAAGTGTAAAGACAATGGCATTCTTCCCGCCCACTTAGAAATCAGCCCACTTAGGAATCAGCCCACTTAGGAATCAGCAGAAGCATACCTAACTACGAATTCGATACACTGTACGGATCGGGTCCAACCATTATCCATCCATGATCCATGATTTCTAGGCCAAGTCAAACTCTTGGCTTCCATACATGCATACACATCACATATACGATTGCTGTAGTGAAGTAGTGGACCCTTCTGCCATAGATAAGCACAAACCGCCTTGGCTGCATCAACCTACACCGGTACTCTTGCTTATTGCCTAGACGAGACAGCCTTCTCCAGTGCAGCAGCTCTGCATTTTTCACCGTCATGTCATGCACCTCATGCCTTAATTGTCATTGTCACAGCCACAAAGAAGTCTGTGGCCGATTTGGGAAATAGAGAAGATCCAGTTTGAGTGAACAAATAAAAAAAGGTTTATGCTGGCTATCTAGATTAGAAATCGGTCTCTATCTACCCTGTCTCTTCAGCTCGCAGTTGCGCGCGCAGGGAGTAAGGCTTGAACTTACCACAAGAATAGATGAATTCTCTTATCGCGTAGTAGCGGAACGAGCAAAATCAACCTACTTGCATTTGCACTTGATACAAAGAATCGGTGGGAGAGAAGAAATCATACAAATTGTATCTCGCTTAACTTTACTCGACTTTATACTTCCTAAACTTCCCGCTAAAGGCCTGCATGCACTGCCAACAGCTCCCACCGATCTATCGATCTGCACATAGCAGGCCATCCCCTACACTAGATTGATAGACTTTCCACAGAAGCACGTAAAATTCTCTCCGAGGAAGATAAATTGCATAAAGAACAACAGTTTTCCTCCCGCCCTCCGCTCAAGGCTGAGAGAGAGAGAGCGGTGGGCGGAGTTTTGGGGGGGGGGGGGTTAAGGTGGTAGTCTCCCTCCGGCCAGTCAGAGTTTCGTCATTGGGATGGGAAAGGGAAATCATGCCGGATGCTGGATGCTTTCTCTTGAACACGGCTTCCTTTCTCTTCTTTATCTGCTTTTCTGCACGGACAAAAAGCACGGTGATTCTCAATGTCTGATGTCCATGGGGTTGCCAGAAATTGCGCTTTCACACACTCATTTTGCACTCAAACTGCCGTGTCGGTATGTACGCTCGACCATAGGGGCTTGTCATCTGGTTTGCGTTGTGCTGCATCGTGCGTGAGGGGTGCCAGAATTAACACGCTCTCCTGTCTATCTGCTGTCTGCTGTCTGCTTCCACCTTTTTTTCTCTCGTGTTTATCAAATTGATTCCGCTGCTTTGAGAGATCTCGTGAGTTGCATATACAACAAGCAAGCCCTCTGATAGCATCTATCTACACTCCTTGAGCTTTCCCGGAGAGAAAAGAAACATCCTCACCGCTTCACACAAGTCACAAGGTATGTACATGGCCTTGTCATGATTGATTCCGTGATCATGTCCTGTCCTGTCGGTTTTCTAACTAGGCGCGCCCTGGTTAGCTTGGTCTTCACAGAAAGCAGATGCAAGGTGACCCAGCATCAGCCATGGTTGACGTCTCGTCGGCCGCCATTCTCGGCTACTTGGCCCCCGTCTGCATTGCCTTCTTCGTTTTTGTTGCTTGGTATGTGGGTCGTATTCCCCTCGGTCATTCGTTTCTTCTTCAGTGGGTATCCGGATTTTAACTCGGATGAATCAAAACAAAAAGGATCTGTGTTGAGGTCAGACGCCGCGAGCGTACCCGTAACCTGCACAGCAACGATGCCGAGACTGCCCCCATGGGGTCCAGTCGGGCCGTGATCTCCAGCCGTGACGTGGAGAGACGCTTCCCCCAGATGAAGTATAGCGACTGGCTCAGTTCTAGGACCAGGTGCATGCCCGCCAAGGATGCCACCGAGGCGAGGGTTTCTTCCGTCGCTGCTGATACTACCTCTGTCGATGCTAATGAAATCGCCCCGGTCAACGACGCTCCGCGCTCTGAGGAAATGCCTACAGATACGCCTCGTCAGGTCCCTGGTTGCGATGGGCCAGCCCCTACTGCTTTTGACATTATGCACGCAGCCCCCGGTACAGGAGAGAGCTTCGACAGGGCAGATTCCAGCAGAGAGTGCGTTATCTGCATGGATGAGTTTCACGGGCCAGACTTCATTCGTCCTCTGACGTGTGGTCATATTTTTCACGTGTCCTGCCTAGATCCCTGGCTAACCCGCCGCCACGCATGCTGCCCCTTGTGCAAGACAGACTACTGTAACGCAAGGGCTTCACGCACCGGGTGGCTCCGTTCCGGGTCTGGCCCAGCTGTTCCGCAGGCAGTTCTGATCCGTACCGACCTCCTTCCGCGTCTCTGAAACCTCTCTATGATCGCGGAACTAAATATCTGTGAGTGAAGACCGTGATTGCCCGCTAAATTGTTGTGAGCCGAAGAAAGGTAGCTGACCATGGACACTTCAGAGGGAGTGGCAATTTGCTTTCGCATAGCACATAGACTTGATTCGTGGAGCGTCTTTTGTGATGTTCTGATACCGCGGGGATTACATACTGGATTCTCGAGATTTGATGTCTTCATGCGTCTCACTTCTGTTGCGTCGGGGTGAGTTTGAGGCTAGTAGGTGATGTAAATAACTCGTTAGCATTTCACGCTACCATATGAATTTGCTTCAGCTCTATTCCCTCGTCGAACGTATATTGACCTTCGTCCTCACAAGAGCGATAGGAACTGGCTCTATGCGGACCTAGAGTCCTTTCCGGATTTCCGGCGGTCGTTCTGATGATAGCCTCCTCGCTTGTTCGTTGGTCAACAAGATTATCCTCGTGGGGCTTTCCTTTAACACTCATGGTGAACTGGTTGAGTTTCCCTTCGTATGTATGGGAGAAATGGAAAGGGTGCCAGTATCTCGGTTTTCCCCTGCTTTGCGTGGAACGCGATGCGCTGGAAGGATCTATGCCATGCCAGCGAGCATGCTGACCATGCGGCCTATTTGTCTTCCGATACATTTTCGAGCTGAACACCCTCCGAATCAGGGGCGACAGACAAACCATATTCGCGACATAGATCGCAGTGCTCGCCTCCCGTATATACCAAATTTGATATGTGGTCGTCAAGGGAGAGGCGAAATTGAAGACTTTGTTGAGAATCGCAGCGGCGATGGTGAAGACGCCTAAGCTCATGACGCCCGCCAGCATGATTTTCTTTCCCCTCCTCATCTGGGCCTTCCGCAGCAGAGGAAATGGCAGCGCGAGCATGGCAGCATCGGAGGAAACGTTGAAGACTGCCTGGGTGATGGAGTAGTACTGGTAGGTCGCGCATTGCATGTCCTGTACCGGCATGGCCCAGTACTGTGAGAATGGCCGGCAATAGACGGCATAGTACGTGACCATGATAACGAGGAAGCCGACGGCGATGAAGGCGGCTATCAGATTGACATACATCCGCAACAGCCGGAAATTCTGGGTGAGCCGCCAGAACATGGTCAACATGCAGATCTTGACCCCCCAGGTGGAGAATAACATGCACTGCTCGAGGCCAATGACGATCTTGCTCCCAAAGATACGATCACGCACTTCTTGTGGGTTGGACATAATCTCATCGTATTGTGCCGGATCGACGAGGTTGGACGCATAGCGGGCGGAGACTTGAATCAAAACCAGCAAGGTTGTATAGATCAACTGCCTCGCCCAGTTGGTCAGTCAAGTGCTCTTCTCTCCTTGTGCGGGCCTTGACTTACAAAATTGAGGCTCATCACATAGTCCTCAACTGTATCCGGCGCGTTAGTGCTCACGAATCCCCAAAAATCCTGGCTGCGTCATACAATACAGGCGCTTGATCGAACCGGTTGCGATGACACGGGAAACTCTTGGTAGGTTAGTAGGGGCTCTATGAAAAGAACATACTCTGTCCACGTAATGAGGGTTCTTGGTACTTACATCCTTCCAATGTATAGCACGATTGCGACGCTCCAGAATATAATTGCCTCGGAGAGGAGCTGATATGGTGGAGGTGAGAAGTCACCCATGTCGTCGTCTTTCCAAAGTCTGGGTAAACCCCAGTGCTCCTAGACTTCTCGCCCTGTTTGCACGGCGCATGTCACACCAGGGGGGTAGAGTGGTGTGCGGCTGGGGGGACATATATAGAGAGCAATGCATCGGCCACCAGGAGCAGCCCTTGCACGCCCTGTCGCAGCAATGCCATTGTATCGGCACGTGAAGCAGAGACCCTGAGCCAGTCTCGACGCCACACGCACCGCTCAGAACGAGGGAGATGATGAGATTGCATGCCGCATCGGAGAGTCCGGAATTCCTTGCCTGAGTTGGCGACAGGACGCAAGGGGATGAACAACTGGGGGTGGACTCGACTCTCGACCTGACTTGCGATTCAGTGCCAGGCACAAAACATTGCACTTGTGCTCTAGATTCATGATGGACTTGTAAATGAAGTACGATCGAATTGCACTGGTGCAGTGCGTACATTGTTCGCTTCCTCGGCCGGTCATTCTTACGGACGTGCTTTGAATGGTTGAAGGGATGTTAAGGTTCAAGCGAGGGATTGCCGGTTGTGCGATCGGAGGTGAGAAGGCAACCAGGGTGGCTAATGAGGTATGGTCATGCTGTAAATTTGTGGTATATTTCAAGTGGATTTGACAATGCATATCTCAGGGGTGCTGTGCCATTATCGTGATCTGCCATCCCCATTTTGTGATGGTGACCCGGGATGTTTGGGGTAAATGATCCCGGCGCTACTGAAATATATAGACAGGAGTTAACCACGGGAGGGCAAAACCTATTGAGCAGCACATGTTCCCATGCACGCATATATACACATTTATCTGAACCAACTACACTGCCTAAGTAGACATGAGATAAAAAAGAACCACGTATGTCGCAAAGAGGTTTAAAAAGAGCACCCAAACCACGAGGAAATTACCAGCGGACCTAGATCAGAGCCAAAAAACACAAAAAAGAATTGCGCCAAGCGAGACTCGAACTCGCGTCCCAACCTAATCCTATGAGAATGGGAAGGTTGGATCCTAACCACTAGAAGATTGGCGCTGAGAACCACTGGACCATCTGGACCATTGTAGTTATTGGGTCAATATTTTAACAAATTATATCCAAGCACCTGGAACCGAGTTTTCGCCTCAATCTGCACCAAGGAACCATCTATCGCGAACTTAATTCGACAGAAATCTTCCCCAAGCCGCCATTGATCCCAGGATGCCCTCAATCCCATGTAATTTTCGATTTATGGTGGTTCTTCTTGCATTTGAGTTGCGATGTGCTGAATTCATCGCATATTCGGTCGAGCGCCGCTAATGCAGTATAGGGCCGTCGAAAGTAAAACCTGCAACTGTAGGCGAGATTCAAGGACATTGGGATTTGTGACAAGAACAAATTTCTTTATCATAAAATGTTTCTTCGCAGAAGTAAAAAAAATCGAATCCTTTAAGAAAAACCATGGCGGGTGGAGCCTGGAATGAGTTGTAGGGCTAGCAATTTTTGTCCGTACCATGGGAAGAACGAGACCTTATTTCCGCGTGGGCATTACCACCAGTGACATAGACAGTGCGACAGACGCCGGACGTTTACGAAGATAATCCAATGAAAAGACTTCAGAAGGGTTGAATCATTGCCTACAAACCATCTTTGCTAGATAATCGCTCAAACTCAAGAATATGCCCAATAGCTTGCCCATGCTCTGCCTTGGATGCTTTACAATCAGAGAATCTCTCAACCATCCTGGACTGCATATCACCACAATCAACATTGCACATACTCTACAGCGCTGCGTATCGTTATTTATGTCAGAGCCAAGGCCCGGGAGATAACGGAATTGCCAGCCTACAACAACATTATCCAGCACCAGCACACATGCCTACTCCTTTCTGCCCCCAGCCGCCGAGCCCCTGATATAAGGCTCGAGAGGGAAGACCTGAGCCTCAGGTGTGACTCCGTCATATAGCTGCTTCCAAGTTCTAATCAACGGCTCGGGGGTTTGCCATGCATACTCGGGATCACGCTGCCAGAGGCGGACGAGATGGCGCCTTGATAATTGATCAGCCGATTGCTAAAACAAGCCTAGACCATAGAAGGCGAATACTCACTGCTGCTCCGGGGTGTCCTGAAACCCATCTCTAGCATGGAAGATGCTCAGGTTGTTGATGTACTGAATGTCACCCTTGCGGAAGTCAAGCCCGACTGCGTACTTCTCGGCCAAAAAGTGCAACGAATCGAGGGCCTCCGCATGTGCCTCAGTGATCGGAGGAATATTCTTGGACCTGGGCAGGTCCTGAAATCCAGTGAAGTTGCGTCGCGCATATTGAATCAGGACGCGCTCAGGCTGCTTGCCAGTAGCTGCCTGATGAAAGAGTAACGGGCGCTCATGATATGGGTTCTGAGGATTGCCGAATCTGCCACCATGTAAAGTCAGCACAAATGCATCCTCATATTTTGAAGTTGATTGCACAAAAGCTATCTAGTACCCGTCAAGAGTCCAGTTCTCCGCGAGCGTACGAATGAGGTCAGGTCGCGTTTCCGCCAATTCATTGTACACACGCCAGCTGCTGGCCAGCTTGCTCTGGCCGCCCGCCGCGGCCGTATTGAGCGCAAATAGGGAGATGATATCCCCCGCATCGGTGTGAAAGACTTGTTTGTCGGTGGTATACGCTGGCGCCCCAATGCGGCCTTTGCTCTGCTCCTGGGTGCTCAAGTCTTTAATATGATTGAGCATCACGTCTGCCGGTGTGCCATCATAGGACGAGTCCTGGCGACCACGGATCGGGGGCATGTGCAGAGAGTCCCACATAAATAATGATATTTTCTTCGCGCGAGTACTTGTCGACTGGCACACCGCTGACAACCTTGAATCCGTGTCCGTTGTGAAGCTCCTGCGAGATATCACGTAACGTTGAGTGCAGCGCAGGTAGAGGGAAGGTCTCCGGATCAATGAAACCAAGGGGTTTGTTCAACGCTGTGAGCAGCAATGTCAGACAAAACTCAACGAGATTTACCTGCAAGGTAGGGGTTAAGCGAGCATGTACACTTGAAATGCCGCACTGCAGCGTCAATCTCCTCGAGATCTGCCTCGGTCAGGACGTACGTCCAGTTGTATCGCTCTGCGATGTCTTTGCCCTCCCAGACTAGATCCGACTCGAGCTTTGCCGGAAAGCCAGAAGGAAGCTCAGCAGGAAGGGTTTCAGTGCGTAAGCGACGCTCCGTGCGAGCATGCCATTTGTTCACGTCGGGGGCGTACTGAATATCAGGTTGTTGAGCGGTGATTGTCACAGTGGTGGTCATGTTGGGCTGGACGTTGATCAATGAGATACTTGCTTTATCAAAGCGAGAGATTAGGGAAATGTGATCGGAGTGCAGTGCATCTTCAGTGCTTTTGAAGTATGTGTAATGTCAACACCGACCCCGCGCGGGCTCTGATGGTGCAATCATCAACCATTTTTGTTGCTGATGACGATTGCTCCAATCAAGGTACTGTACTTTCTCAGCTGATGAATTCCAGCAAAGCCCTAATCTGTGTTAGATCATTTCCAACATACTCTCGTTAACTCTTGAACGCAAAGAGCAGATGTTGCCAGATCGGACGTCTGCCGTACTTTCGAGACTGCGGATGGGTTGGAGAAAGCTGGATAGACCAACAATAGCGGCGGTCATTCCGCTTAATGACCTATGCGACTGAAACAGCAGTAGTGACAGGCTCTTTCTTGTGAAGAGCCTCAAGGTCGTTCAAGGTTCCAGTGAAGGCAACATGTCTGTTTTGGTAACAATATGAAGCGTCCTGGATATCCTGCACTATGCAGCATAAATCTAAAATAGGCAGGGGGTTATCCGCATAGCGGTATGCTGATCTAAGCCGAGAAGGGCCCCACGGTGACGCTGCTGCCCCGCCCGTTCAGGCGCATCCAACAACAGTCCCCCCGCATTGAATAACAGACAGAGGTGAGAGAAACACTGTCTATTCGAGCCACCCTTCCTGACTAGTTTCTCCCCTAAGCAACTACTATCTGATATATTCTTCCCCTACGAAGATGGATCGTTCCAACAAGCCCTCCGCCATCGGGGTGGGTGCCTCCATCCCTCAGCCCACCGTCAACTTCCACGACAACAAGGTCCAGGCCACCCTGCCCACCGGCGAGTCGGTCACCGTCCACCTCTATGGAGCGACCGTCACATCTTGGAAGCTTGCCAATGGGAAGGAGCAATTGTTCGTCAGCGAAAAGGCTCACCTGGATGGCTCCAAGCCCATCCGCGGCGGTATCCCTGTGGTTTTCCCGGTAAGTTCTATCCCAGTGACCTTCAATCCCCCAAACAGAACAACCGCTGTCTAACGAGTGCCGCGGCCGTGGCTCACTGCAGGTCTTCGGTCCTCCCCCCTCGAATCACGCTACATCCTCCCTCCCGCAACACGGCTTCGCACGGAACTCGAACTGGGAGTTTCTGGGCAAGTCCTCGTCCGAGTCCCTCGGAAAAGACCGCAAGGAAGGCGATGATGCGGTCAAGCTGGACTTCGGTCTGTCGCACCCTATGCTGAGCGAAGAGTTCCAGAAGGCGTGGCCTTACCAGTTTGGTCTGGTGTACAGTGTCACCCTGACCAAGGAGGGTCTCGAAACCTCCCTGCAGGTGCAGAACAAGGGCGAGCAGAACTTTGAATTCCAGGTTCTGCTGCACACTTATCTGAGCGTTGAGGTGCGTTTTCACAGCGAAGCCCCTGATTAGTGCAAGTATCTTGCGAGAGGAGAGACTGACATAAGGGCATATAGGACATCTCGCAGGTCCGCGTCAAGAACCTCCAGTCCAAGGAGTATGCCGACAAGACCCAAGGTGGCGCCGTCCAGACGGAAGCCTCCTCTGCGGTTGAGATCGATAAGGAGACCGATCGGGTGTACAAGTCCCTTGACCCGAAGGTTCCGATCGAGGTCACCACGGTCTCGGATGACAAGCCCTTGTTCTCGGTTACCCGGGAAGCCCTGACCGATGTTGTGGTATGGAACCCCTGGATCGAGAAGGCCAAGGGAATGGCCGACTTTGGACCGGATGAGGCTTACAAGAACATGATCTGTGTCGAGGCCGGCTCCGTCGCTGGGTGGCAGACGCTGGAGGCGGGAGAATCCTGGGAGGGCGGCCAGACTATCCGGCCAAGGCTATAAGTTGCCAGATATTGCCCGTTGATCTATGCGCTGATGTTTGAGCGAGCTAAGTTGCACATGAAGATAACATGAAGATAGAGATAAATACGCCGTGAACGTGTACATGAATTAAGTTCTTTGCCCCGAGGGTGCAATGTATTTAAGAGTAATTTCAAAGCAAGGCCCTTTAACTGAGCCATAGTTCCATGATCGAAATCGCCTTGTGAAGATAGAAGGAACATGTGGGACCAGGCTCGAAACATTGCCATCCCATAAAACAGATCATTATTGAATGGTTCAGCGAAAGATTGCGCGGCGTATAAGCAGGATGTGAGCACAGCACACGGGTACTGGCCAAGCTCAAGTTGATGCGAGCACTTGGGTTCCGCGGAGGAAATGCCTTTCTCCTTCAAGGTTCTCAGAACCAGCATCCGAGCGCCGCAATCTTCTATTTGAAAGCGCCCTAAGCGCCTGGACCCTCGTCTGATGACCCAACAATAGCTCCCGATGCTCAAAGTCTCAGGGCTGTTGCATATCATGTCGTACGCAAAGGCAAGCTTCGTATGGAGGAAGCACAACGGTCGAGTGCCTAACGACTCGTAAAATTTTGACAGCACACGAGGCAATCCATCTATCAGGTTGTGGAATGCATTCAGATCCGGAATATTGGCGGCGTGGTTGTGCCTTCTTCGTGTGAAGAGATCACTCAAAGCACCGAAAATCCTCTCCTGGTGCGCTCAAGGTGGTTCTGATTAAGGACCCAGCAGTTAAGTCCCCAGATGACGTGGTAACTGAACAAGAAAGGCAGGGACAAGAGGAAAAAGAAGACCAAAACCGACTGGGGGAACATTGTCAGTGTGGGGAGAGGGTGGTTGAGGATAGGAACTCGGGTCTCATGGGAGATATAAACAAAAGATGAGCTGGATAGACAGGTTCAATAGCTATCCACCAGCTTTGTTATATATAAAGGTGTATGCACTCGTGCGTATACAAGAGCTGGTCAGATGGGCCATGCGAGGATGATACGAGATGACCAATGAGACGGGAACAGCATCGCGTAGCGGGGTAGCTGCACTGCATGGGACGTCGGCTCCCAGTCTTATAACCTTGAAGTCACCCAGTAGGTTCCAAGTTCAATGTATATGGCTGTAACCACTAGAGGTTTACTAGAAATTCTTCGGAAATTTCCAGGATTCCGGAAACGGAAGTAGCTTTTCCTACTGTGAACCCCTCGGTAAGGGTACTGAGTACTTCAGTGCCAGTGCGGGCGGCACTGTAGCTTGTCTCTTGTGTATTATATTATCATTACCTCTGGATAGCCGCTCAATTTCTTGAGCCCCTTTCTTACTGCTTCATACCATCACTCTATCAAAGCTGGAGAGCTCCAGCTAACCGGACAAAGCACTTAGTATATTGTCCCTATCGATGAAGGTCATGCTCTCTAAGGTACGTTCTATACCACTGCGATGGATCCCGCCCTCTAGTGGTGAGAGACTCGCTCGCAGAAAAGGAAATTACTTGCGGTGACTATCATGAACGGTCTATTAATGCATTCAATGGCCATGGGCACATAATTTCATCAACCACAGGCGCATCTTCAAAATACCATGTGAAGCCATGCACCCAAGCATCCGATGTCACCCCTTTTACTTTCGCAGTCTGGTCTCCGTGTCATTTCATTCCGGATACGAGACATCAACCCAGAAGAAAGACCCTCAGGTTGGTACGAGATTACCGCCTGTATGTCCTCCAACAAAGCGCATCCATCTGCATACATAGACTTACAACCACGAGATGCAACATCAGTGAGACCAACTGCCTGGCAAAGCTTTTCGCTGGGAAGTTGACCGCCGCCACTAATAGTAGGGGATAAACGACCCAAGGGTTGACAGTCAACGGGCTGCAGGGTTGAAATATAGAGAGTATTTTGAGAAGGAACGTGGTCAATTGAAAAATTGTGATCCCAAGCTGCCAGTCAGCTACGGAAGTTGTCAGAGGCTCGAGGAACGAGAAATATCTTTGTAAGAACCAGTGACGTGGGGGAGGTGGTGGGAGTAGGTGTTGTTGCTGAGGCTCTTCGATTGTGTCAGAGTTGTCATGGGGGGCCACTTCGTGGCGATGTTCCTCAGGAGGATGGTGGGCAGGTGCCAATGAAGATGAGGGAGTACTCGAGAAACGCGGGCGGAAAATGAGATTTCGTTCCGGGCTAAGGGAGGTGGAGGTAGATTCGGCTCTAGCAGCTTCAGTGTTGGTACTATCGTATGCAGAACTCCGCCGTACACTTGGCGGTGGTCTCGCGAGGGTCCTATTCGGCGACAGGGCTTGGCGAGTATAGGATGCAGCAGACGGACTTTCTACCGGATGAATCCGGAAGCTGGGGCGCATATCTGGACTGGTTGGGCTTGCTCGCTTCAAGCGGAAGTTTTCATTGACATTAGCCCCAGCCTGGAGACCATTAAGAACTTCTTCTGCCGAGGGTCGGCGATCAGGGTCCACGGACAGCAAGCGCTGGAGGAATATGTAGAGCTGTTCGGGGAGTTCGGGTCTCATGCGTCTAGCATAGTCGAAGCCCGACCATTGACTGATCTCTTCACGAAGTCGGTCTAAGTCCTCTTTCTCCTCGTGGATCAAGTCTGCATTGCTGTACGGAAGCTGCGCAAAGCAGAGGAAGTACAGAATCATCCCCAGAGAGAAGATGTCGGACTTGAAGGTGAAGTTCCCGAAAGGACCATCGGGATATTCTCGTCGTAAAACTTCTGGTGCGCAGTAAGAAACAGTCCCTGTTGCTCCAGTCGACCTTCGGATTGAATCTTGAGCCTGGACCTCTCCAAAGTCACTAACTAGGACCCGGATCCCGTCACTGGTTTTATGCAGCAAGCAGTTATGGGGCTTGAGGTCACGGTGGATGTAGCCATTGGCGTGGAGATATCGGATTCCGGAAGTAATATCTTTGAAGAAAGAATATATTTCCTCGAATTGGAGCTTTCGCAGCGCCCCAAGATCGTTCTCAGGATCAAGTCCGCCCCTTGACCTTCTTCTCAGACGCTCTTTGAGCTGCTGTTTTGTAGTAGAAGTCTGCACTGCACCGCAGATATAATTGTGGAGGTCCCCCGCGTTGCAATACTGCTGAAGTATGAACGCGCATGGCACACTGGGCCCAAAGGTAGTGATCTTTGCATTTTCCAACCACACATGTCGATAGGAGACGAGATTCTGGTGCGAAAGGTGCTGTAGAAGCTGTACCTCACCTAATACCTTTTCAAGCCACTCATGGTCATCTCCGACAGGGACCCGCTTACAGGCGTAATGGCCAAGTGAGACACCGTCCAGTACGTGTTTGACCAGAAGAACAACCCCCTTGCCGCCTTTGCCCAGAACCGTTTCTTCGACAAAGAACTTCTTGAAGTAATCCTGTGTAAAGGCCGCCGACGAAATTCCCTGACTGGTATGGATACCGGTCTCTGGATAGCTAGGATCACTAGTCGGACCGTCCGCGATAGCTGGCTGAACGAGACGACGGCGAGGGGATGGTGGATTGGATGAGTCCGTAGAGCCAGGTAAGCTAGCATGTAGTAGTCGAAAGTAGTCAGGATTGATGAATTCCGCCTGCGCGCCCGGGCTAGTGTCATGATCACCTTGGGGTGAACCATTTTCATGCAAAGGACGATGGCAGTAAGGACAATCGGTCAGATCAAGGTCACTGCCCCTACGATCCGCGGTGTTTTGGAGAACCAGTTGCCGCGAGTCGCGATCATAAACCACAACCGAGTCATTGTGTCGCCTGCAGCAAGACAGTCCTCCACATTAGGATCTCTATTCTCTGAACAACTAGGAGAGAAGGGGGATCGAAGAAAGCTGGCTTACAGCACGACATCGAGATTGCCTGAACCATAGGGAACAATGGACATGCCCTCATCCTCCATTGTCACGGGGAGAGTAGCATATCCACAGGGCACACAAAGACATGAAAGGCCGAATAAATAGCCTAAGTTAGTGCGTCGTGATATTAAGGAAATGCAAGGTATCTTCTGGCAGCTGCTACGGAGACGAGGCACTCGAATGAGGCTGGGGTAGCCCCACGTGAGCTCCGTCGGCGGTGAGGAATCTGCCCTATTGAAAAGTGTCTACGGGTGGATTACTGTGGGAAGAACCAGTGTTTTCTTGAATCAGACCACCTTGTTTCAGGATGATTGATTGATTGATTGCTTGAAATTTCTTGAAGTCTTCGTGTAACAACACTCAATGGGTATCTTAAATAATGGGCATCAAGTTGGCAGAGGCATTGATCGGCCTGACAACCAATGCTCTCCGAGCTGAAGCATAACGTGCACTGGCCAAGAACAGTCCAGGTGGCATGCCAGCGGATTTCATATGGAACCAGTGCTAGGCTCAAGAGGCCTGACTGTGTTCTGGTTCTCAGAAGAGTTCGCGTCATTGACGCTTCGACGCAAGTGGCTTTCAACTTCCACCCAAAGTCAAGGTGTGACAAGACCTTGGGGTACGCCCTGGGAGTTGTGGAGCGACATGCGTCACCAGGGGTGTACGTCTCGGGATTGATGCCAAATGACAGACGGCATCGGGAGTACTTGGTTCATTGACAGTCTTTGACAAGGATCTCGACAATGAAACCACTTAATCGTCTTCTTCGCCACTTTCCTCATCGCTGATTTCGAGGTTCGCGATGGAGTCATCATCGTCGTCGCTCTCGAAGCCCTCGAATTCGTCGTTGTCAGTTTCAGAAGCCTTTTCTTTCGACGCCTTCTTAGAGTCCTCTTGCTTTTCAGAGGTAGTGTCGTCGAGCTTGCGCTTCCGACTCATTTCTCCGAGCCGACCAGCACGGCCCTCGATCGCCTCGTCCTCCCCACCGGCATTGTGAGGCGGGGGAGTGAACCAGGGGATCTTTCCTCGGAGGAAATCGTTGATGACCATTTTGGCAACACCATCAAGGTCAGGTTCTCCACCACGAAGCAAACGACCACCCTTGCGAGCGAGGATACTGAGAAACTCGATAGGATCCTCGACATTCTTGATGCCGTATGTACGCTCCAAGTGTTTGGGCTGCACTCGCTTGAGAACGGCCGGAATGTACTGCTCGGGATTCTCTACGTTCTCCACTCGAACCACACCTCGAAGGAGGATATCTTCGGGAGTGGCGTTCGAGCTGGCTGGTACCACACCAGGACAATCGATGAGGTAGATACGCTTCATCAAGGTAACATACTGCCAGACCTTGGTCTCACCAGGGATTGGAGCCACGGTACACACTTTCTTCTTCCGCAAAGTGTTGATGACGGAAGATTTTCCAGTGTTTGGATAGCCGATCAACCCGACAGAGATCTGCTTGCGATCGGAGTGCAAGGAGGAGAACTGCCTTAGAAGCTGAATCAAAGAACCCTTACCGAAAGAGTTGGTGATGGAGGCGTGGAAAGCCAGAGTAGGATAGTCTTTTGACAAGTGTCGTACCCAAGCGGCCTGGTGTCACGTTAGCAAGTAAACACCAACGGTATTGCAATGAAGACAATAGCGTAAACAACAATAAGCAAAAAGACGAAGATGAGACATGGTAAGAAAATGTGTGAAATGTTACTAAGAGAACTGCTATGGGCCACTCATTGAGTAGTAGCAGATCTCAACTCAAAAACAGAACACAGCTTGATCCTTACGACTGGTATTCAAAACGAAAACCAGTCAGCCTAGCTTCAGAAAGAAGGTCGGCGCGGATCAGCGTCAATCTGCCAGAGCTGTAACAGACATACTCCCAAGGAAGAAAAACACGACACGAGGTCGCAGGGAGAAGCCTTGACTTAGCAATGGCATTGGGCCGAAACCCATTTTCATAAAGGATAGAACAAGGGGTAGAAAGGACAAAGTAACACGAGAGAAAAGTAGACGTACCGCTACACCTGTGGGAACAAGGTCACACTTGTTCAGGACGAAGATCAAGTGCTTGTGAGGAGCCTCTTCACGGATGTACTTCTCAATACTCCTGCAGCGTGTACCATCGGGATCACGAGCATCAAGTAGATGAAGTACAACATCGGATGAGTCAATGACCTTGTAAAGCTCATTCCAGATACGCTTGCTCTGACCCTTGGAGAAAACTGACTCAACGGCGGTGGTTGCCAGACCGGAGTTGTCATCCTTTGCGACATCATCACCGTTGACAACCAAAGTACCATCTTCATGAGTAGCATGGTCTGTCTTTTCGACGTAAGCGTCATGCATCTTGACGGTTTCGCCGGCCAGGTCCTCCAGAGAGGCAACGCCCATCTTCACGCGCTTCCTCTGCGCCTTGGGCCCAAAGGTATCACTGAAAGGAGAATTCTCAATGGCCATCTTGGCCTCGTGCTGCTTCAACCCATTGGCGCCCTTGTCATCTCTGATCAGGCTCATGGGAAGTTTGTTGGTCTTGAGCAAGACTGAATAGGGGTCGGAAGCACGTTCGGCAACCGCCTCGCGGAAAGACGATAGAGCCTCTTGAGAAATGACTCTCGTGTTGCCAAACCATTTACGGTTGGGCTCGATTCTAGCGACCGGAGCATCTCGAGATTGGTATGAAGCAGCCACAGTGATCTTTCCCTCGGCATTACGTCGAGGCTTTCCATCCTTCAACATGTTCAAATGCTTCACCTTCTTCGCATCTCTGTCATGATACGTTAGTCCAGCATTCAGTAGCAGGGATCTTCGCCATTATTTTACCTGTAGAAGTTCTCACCCTTGGTGCGAACATTTCCCATGCCATCCCCAGTCTTCCCCTGCCGCTCTCTACGAGTGGCTTCCTTCTTTCCGGTACCCATGATGAAAACACCTCCCAAGAGTACCTCAAGAAGTTTTGGAAAAAAAAAATTCACAAGAAAGTAGTGTTGTGAAACAAAAATGGCGGAGCGCAAGAAGGAAAAGAAAAAGAAAGAGAAGAAAAAAGTTTCAAGCGCGGGAAAATTATTTTTTTTTCTGCCATTGGCGCGCGCCAAGCTAAGCGGTGCACGGACCAATATCAGGAAAATCGTTTCGTTCTGTCCGAACTTCCGCAGCAGAACCGCGCTTGCCAATAAGTCCTTTCAGGATCTCTGTATCGGTTCAGGTTGTCGGTTGATTGAGGTGGGCCTTTCAATTGAGTTCCTTTGCAAAATACCCCCCGATACCCCCACAATTAGCTTTTGTCCAAACATCCCCAGACAATCGCGCGACCTTGTTTTATCATGGCCCTCTTTCGCAATGGCAGAACTGCCACCGTGCAGTTCCGCGGCTTCGCTTCATCGGCCTCTTTGCGAGTCGGACCCGAGTCTCCCAATTTCATCGACGTTCCTCGAGTTCTTCAGCCGGAACAACCCTCTAAGCCCCGCGTCAAGGGTACTCTTCCGGTTCCCCGTGAGATCTTTCCTGCCCGCCGCACGGACAAGCCGACGGAGGCGTACATTCACGCCGCTACGCCTCTTCCCAAGAAGATTTCGCTCAACCCAAACCACCCGGACTATGAATACCGCGAACAGCAGAGGAAGATGGCTAATATGCGGAGGAAGAATCTCAAGGAGGGCCTTTTGGAGCTGCACGCCCGCAAGCAGGCCACTGACAAAGCCATGAAGCAGCAAAGCGAGCAAAAGCAGCGATACCGGGAGAAGATCATGCGACAGCCTGCGAGGGAGGACGTGAGGCTGACTCAGACGTCGGTAGTTCAAGCTATGTTGCCCCAGCGCATGCAGGTGCTGCCGGATCCTGGTCGAGAATCTCGTCTGCGCGCTTCTCGGCGTCAACTTGAGGAGAAAGAAAGACTCAAGAATGCCGAGCGCCAAAACAACCTGCACGACCTGTACGTGAATGCACGGCAGTTTATCACTACCGAGGAACAGCTCGCAGCCGAAATTGAGAAGGTCTTCCCCGAGGGCGAAAATGAGGCCTGGCGCAACGATCACCAGGCGGGTAACAACATCTGGAACCTGGGCCACCCCCAATCTGTCTCCAGCCTTGTCCACGAGACTAGCAGGAGCGAATCTGCTCGCTGGGACGCCATTCAGGGCAGAATCAAGAAGCTTGGAGAGGAGATTACCGGCGGCAAGTTCTAAATGGGAGTGCTCATGGGAGCGTTTGCACATTACGTTCTATGTACTACAAGTCGATGTCCTTGATCTTGTTTAAATAGTGTCTTCTGAGTTTGTGTTAGCTTTGTCTTTTTTGTATACCTAGATCAATCATATCCATTATCAAGACCGTCATTTCTATACCCCAACGGAGCACCCAAATCCCATCAAAACGCCATCGCTATGCATTATATACAACAACCCAGGTGAGGCTACCTTCGCTGCGAAGTAGAAGCGCAGAAATAACAGCAGGAAACACTTTCTCCAGCGGGCTCAACAGTCTATGTATAACGCCAGTCAGCTGGCTTCTGTATTACCCGTAGAAACTGCCGCCTGGGCAGCCCCTTGAGTGGCGGCAGGTCTGGAGGCCCCAAGAGACCCTGCACCGTCACGTTGTGCCACCTCCTCATCGATAAAGCAGCCCAAGCCGGCGAAAGCTTCCATCAATGTACGAGAGTAGTACTCCTGGAGATCGTACCCGCCTGCCTGCATACGAGTGTCCTGGCGGATAGGATCCAGATAGCTTGACGGATAGAAATCGCGCAAAGTATAATAGTCGCGATTGTTGGGAACCATGCCACCAAATGGGTCGTAAGGCTTTTCGGGTTCCGGAGTCACGATCTTCTTGAGACCCTTGATCAAGCCCGAATCGCCAGCAATGTCGGCCTTATCAGCCGTGAGTCCTCCCTGACCAGCTTTTCTAGCATCCGAATTCCGGAGAGCAGCCTGTTTCTGTCGGATCCGGTCCTCCTCACTTCGCCGAGCCGATGATTTCTTGAGCAGCACCTTCTTGCCTTCGCGTGCAATAGCCGCAGCGTCGCCAGGTCGCCCGGCTGCGAGACGAGTGAGAACATCCTCCCGAGAGGCTTGTAGCTCCCGCCGTTCGTTCTCGTACTCTTGTTTAGCGGCTTCTCGGCGAAGACGGGCCAGTTCCTGCTCATGTGTCTGCTGCTCCTTGAAAGACGAGGCTTCCTGCGCTTCGAGGGCTTGGTTGGCGCGAATCGAGCGCATGTTCTCTGAAGCATACTTCTGAAGGTCGCTTTCGGTCTTGGCCACATCGGTGCCGTGTACGAGATTTGCGATGATCTCCTCACGTTGTTCGAGGAAGTCGTCCCAGGCTCGTTTGGAGTCGAACTCCTCTTCACGGCGGTTGAGACTGCGGACAGTATCAGTATCCTGCAAGGCCACCAGGGAAGAGGGCCTGACGACATACATTTGCATCACTCTGCGCCGGATGTCCACCTCTCGTTCCACATTGATATCCTCGAACGTTTGCTTCCGAAACCGAGCCTTTCGCAGCGTCTTGTGGCAACCCGCGACGGGGCAGTTTGCCGGGCCTGACGAGAATATGCGGTCCACACACGATTCGCACATTTTGTGATAACATTCCGGATTGATAAGGAACTGCATATCTGGGTTCAAGTACCGCGAGGATTTGCAGACAGGGCACACCTCTAAAGAGAGCTGGTTAGCACAAATGGGAGGGGGATTCCGATGCACAAACAACCATACCGTCATCATCCCCGCGGTTGGCCATAGCTTCCTGGGCAGAAGGCATAGTTGACAGCTCGCAGATCTGAATAAGACCGAGGCAGAGCAGAGTAAGTGTTGAACAGACCGGAGGTGTCGCAGCAGTGAAGCCTAAATGACGGGTGATCAATCCAACTGCCCGCACGGGCCAATCAGGCATTCCGCCCATTGTTCCGCGGCGGAACTTTTTTCTTTGCCGCCGCCTCCTCCAACTCCTCTCTCCGTCCACCTTTGGTCTTTGACCTTGATTCACACAAACTTTCCTCATTCAGGTGAAACACGACTTATCCTGAATCTCAGTCCAAGTTATTCGTTCGGTACATTCTCGAGACTTGATTTCATGAACATAATCATGGGTGTTCCCGACAGCCAGCTACACGAACTCGAGCGCCAGCGCCTAGAACTCGAAGGCAATATCCTGAAACTCCAGAACTCACTCTACCACTGGCGCACCTGGGAGGCAGAGTACGACGGCCTCAAAGAGGAGATAAATGATTTACCTGAAGATGCGGATCGCGAAAACTTCCTTAGCGTGGGCAACAGCCTCGGCGGATCGCTGGTCACTGAGGAAGAAGTGAAGGTGATACTGGGCGAGAAAGAAGGCGTGACGCGCACCAAAGGACAGGTGGTCAGTTTGATCAACAGACGCATTGACTATGTGAAACAAAATGTTGCGACAATGGAGAAAAGACTACGCGCCGCAGAGAACGAATTGTATGCGCTGGACTCTCAGGAGCAACTGCCGAGTGATAGTACGGCCGAATTCCCGATGACTGAGATCTTTGAAGAACTTGACGAAAATGGTAATGTCGTCTCGAGCACAACGAACACCCCAGGCAGCCAGGCTTCTGAGCTTTTGAATGTCTTGCAAAAAGCAGGTGTCAGCGATATACCGGACACGGCGAATGTGAATACGGCACATCAAGACTCGTCGCAGCATGCTGCAAGGCCTTTGGAAGCACCCGCTACGGAAGAAGTTCCGACTGCACTCGAGGTGGAGGAGGTAAATCCCCAGGCTATTGAGGAGGAGGAAATGCCGGAAGCGACTACTCCCGAGAACAACCCTAAGCCTCCCTCAATGGATGCAGCTGGTCTCCTAGAATACCAACGTCTTGCAGCAAGCATTGAGGAATCGCCAGAGGATGCCCAGTTACGGCGCGATATGCTGCAGTATAGCCTAAATGAAGTTGGAGCGGTCGTCGCCGAATTGGAACTTGACGAGGATGCAAGCGACGTTTCTGTGGACGAAGAATATGATGATTACCCTTACGACGATGACGAAGAGGAGGAAGATGAATATGGGAGAACTACGACACGTGTTCTTGATGAGGATTACCACCGCGAAATGCGAGAGTTGGAAGCCAAGCTGAACGCGCGAGGATTGTGGAACATTGGCAAGAACACCGACTCTCTCCCAACTGATGTTAAAGCAGAGTTGGAGCAACCCAGTGTGATTCGTGTTGAGAAGACCACCGAGACAGGCACCGGACCTGTGCTTGAGAAGAAGCCGAAAAAGAAGGTTGCCTTCGCTGACGACCTCGACATTGCTCCGGCCCCGAAGCCTTTGACGCAGGATAAGAGGGTTGTCCCAGTTCGTGAATCTAGTGTACCTGTTCTTGCAGATTCCGTGGTTGAACGCACAGAGCCTGTTGCAAAGGAACCAGTAACTAAAGACGCACCGAAGAAAGTCTCTCGGTTCAAGAGCGTTCGGAGAACGGACGACAGCGCAGTCAATCCAGCCACTGCGTCAGAGACTTTAGCTGGCCCTTCCCGGCCCGTCGAACTTCGCTCGTCTTTACGCAAGACTGGCACCCCCTCTCCCGCGCCATCCTCTCTGCCTCTCTTCCCTGCCAGGCCAGCGGAGCCTAAACCCTTCTCCCAGCCAATCTCAGCTGATCCCGAGGAAGACCCCGCACCCAGAGGCCCAAAAGGCAAAATTCTGGCAGATACCCTTGTTGAACGTGATGTTTCGCAGACGTCCGCCGTGGCACCGGAACCCGACGAGCTCGATGAACAACTGCATCGGAAGGAGATTGCGACTGAATTTTACCAAATCCGCAATCGCATGATCAAGGAACAAGGGGGATTCGTTGACGAAGAGCCCGAAATTGTCCCTCTCGAAACAGAAGAGGCTCCGAGGCGTGTGAGTAAGTTCAAGGCCGCGCGCATGAGGTAGGTCAATAAAAACATCAGATGCAATTGGAAGTCAGATACCCGCTATGTACATGCATGGTAATTGGGAAAATATATTCATTTTTTCTCACATTGATATACTGCATTGAGGAATTTTCTCTGTAGATACTGGACTTCAGCTTCATGACTGAGCATACAGTACCTCCTGGTATGCTCATAACGCTGAAACGTCCAAGATCAAGGACCAAGGGCTCTCTGACTGTATTTCCATTACTGGATGTATTGGGCTCTACGGAGTACTTACAGACAGTAAGAGATGGTTATACGGTTACGTTTCACCCTCAACATCTCTTCGATTATCCCAGAACCCGACCCTGGAGGCGCCATCTACGTAGAAAATGCTACTCTATAAAGTGCATCAGCGGCCATGACTCAACGCATTTTAGCCTTCTTGCTCAATTTATTCTTCCTCATCCAACAATCTGAACAAGCAGATGATGGCACCTGTTTCGCCTTGAAATCCAGCCAATGCCACATAACATAGTTTTGTTGTCGTAAGAATCTCCAGGCAATTGACCTAGGTTGGGCAACGTCACCTGTCAATTAGTCTTTGATATTTGTAAGTCAAGCGAAAACGACAACTTTATGATTCCCTGCATGTAGGTGGAGAATCGCTTGCGTACCACTTCCCGCAATACTGATTCCTACAGCGCGGGAAATACATGTCTTAATGGAAGTGATCTGCAACTGACATCGACGTCAGTGTTGTTTATCCATGGATTGATGGCCCTCCCCGCCCATTGTTCCATCCAATCGACAAGGCAATTGACAACCCATAGTCTCTCCAGGCAGGTACAGTCAACCGATCAGCGTGAGTTACTGAGTACGAGTACTTGTCTGTTTATCACGAGCCATTGACAAGTAGACCATGCATGTAAGACATGCTGAGGGAGGGGAAGGGAATTGGCTCGTATGAGTACAGCACAATTGCGTTTCCACAACATGCTACTCGTATGCAATGTTTCTCGTCCGGTTCCCCATGTTTATGCACCTGACAGCATCTTGTAGTAGGGGAGAGAACTATGCAGAGCATGGTCTGTCTACGGTCTATGGAGAGGGGAAGACTGGCTTGGAAATCAATGACGGCTGTCAATTCTCGAGCGGACAGGTCCAAAGATGTGGGTGGATCGAATGGGATACTTCTTCCTTTCTTTCCTTTTTTTTAATCAAATATTTTTTTTTCTTAAACAAGCCGATGGAGGTTTCCCTTCCCTTCCGGCACTTGAGAGTCCTGGATAGTGTGGGTCCGGTATTCTTGACTTCAAAGGCTAGAATGGCTGGCCCAAATCCAGTTTGAAAACCCGAGACCAGCCGGCAGGAATCTGCGAATTTGTACCATTTCGGCTGTCCAGATTATCATCTAGTGGGATGATGGATGGAATGGGAAGGACCCAAATTGAAGGGGGTCCTGATGGCAGAAGCATACGTAACGGTCCCTGTGCGCGGGGAAGAGCTGAGATTCTCAGTACTTGTACAGTACGAAGTACTATACGTCCAATGCTAGATCACTCTGGGCTTCAATAGAATAGAAAAAAAAGGACTAAGTAGAATCTATATTCAGTAGAAAAGAGAGACCATCTGAGGCAACCATTCGTACTGCTCTGGATGTCCAACTCCATGTGTAGATGTAGAGACAATCTAAGTATTACTTGTGTCAAACAGCTGGGAATCAGAGTTAATTTATAGGTGATTAAGTAGCTTCACTAAAGAAGCATGTGAGAACTCTGCCAGGTCTGGTATACGTTGGTGGACTCGAATATATGTATTAGAATCTTCATATAATGGTTTGCAAAACAATAGTATGCGACGTTATGCATAAAAGGACCAAGGTGGAATTAAGAACTGAAGCTATACATCCACCATTCAACATTAGGCTAAACTTTATGGAGCCCAGACGCACAGGGCTGTATGGTCTGTGTACTGTACATGACACTCAATTGCTCTTTTACTACAATGCATCCTCGCTCAGACTGTGCTGTGAGCTTGCAGCACGCAGACAACCACCGCCATACACACAATTCCGAATGACGTGGTAAGTTGATCGACATTGCCTTTACCTAGAAAACAGAGAAATATGGAATGGAACAAGGGCATTGAGATAATTCTTAGCGATTGTCATTAGATGAGCAGTAGTTGAGAAATAAAAATAGTCTTGGATGATGTGATGATGAATGCGATGCACATCCCCATCAAACAATCCAACCAGAAGCAATGCCGTTGGTTGTGGCTTTCGTCATGGTCCACTTGCAGAATAATGACTGATGTGGCTGGCCGATGAGTGGCTGCATCCCCTGTTTTTCCCCTGCTGAGAGGCCCACTCCTCCCACCAACTCCCTTCCCCACTCCCCCGAATGAGTTCCGGTGTCTCCGTCACTTGGCTTTCCTGTCTGTTTCAGATGAAACGAACTCAACTGGAACTCTTTCTTCTCCCCGATTCATCTCATCCACATCATCCACACCCACCCACACGCCCCGCACCCCCTCCATGCCGGAATTCTGATGCTGCAATCACATTCAATTATCCCATGATGACATGCAGACGGGTGGGAATTTCGCCTATCCTAGGCTGTTGATGTCTCCAACGGAAACCTCCTGTCCAGCCGAATTGTTGGTCATCGCACTACTCCGCACACCATGTGGTGAAAGAGACTCATCCCAAACACGGCCTGTACACGGAAGGAATGATGCAATATGTATTCGAAGAGGAATCCGACATTGCCGTCGTCCACTTTCCATATGGCATTGATCGGAACGCACTCTTCCTCTATTACGCGGACTTGCTTGTTCTTGCGCATATCGTACCTTGACTATACTTCATACATACAAAGCCTATCCCACTATATGCTCTGTGATGGTGGGTTTCCGCGTGCCTGTCAAGTGGGTGAATATGAATAGAAACAACGCGTTCCTGGGAACTCCAATGTCCAGGCCCTGGTGCGAGGCAGATATGGAACCTGCTATGGGTCGCTGAACGGCGGACAAAACCCGTGGATGGTATGTTGTTTTGCCACAGGGTCGCAATTGACCCGCTGCACACTTCCATCAATCGGGAGCTCATCGATCAAGGCAGGGTATCTGGCCGATCCAAAGGCACCGCTTGATGGGGCCGGCTCCACCGAGCTTGAGAAGCCCTGAGATACCCCGGCCACTGATACGGCTGCCTTTTAGCAGTACTGCCTTACTTCCCGAACAAGAGCCACTCACAAGGGTTCTCATATCCACAATGCTCAGGACTTTATGACGTTTGCTCTGGTGCTCTTGCCGACCCACGACAGTGTCCAGACCCGAGACTGCCGGCCAATTCGCTGACTGCCTATTCGCTCGTCGGCCATATCTGGCTGGGCCCATGGTGGCTCTTCATCGGGCCCATGGTCTCGTCGACCTTGCAGAGTCATTGCAACTAGCTGCGGTCTATTTTCAATTCTCTCGATCTACATGTGGAGGTACTTGATCGTGTTCCCTGGGACCTGTTTGTTGTGTCGGAACAGATAGTATGACGTTTCTGGTTGTGTCCACTATCTCTTATAAAGAATTGCACATGCCCTGAATGTCACTCTTGAGTTCTTGTCAAAACAACGACCTTGCACTATACTGGAAGCCGTCCAGTCCTTTCACCCCCTAGCTGCCGACCAAGCTCGCTAGTGCAAGGATGAAGAACTTTGCAACTCTCGCAGCTTTCGCTGCTGGAGGAAATGCCCTCGTAAGCCGCGCCGACTCATGTTGCTTCCACCTGACTGCTTCGGGCGCCGCATCTGGCACGGTAGGCCAACTTGGTGATGGCCAGAATCGCCTCGGTGGTGGTCTTTCTGCAGCCTCGTTCTGCATCGATTCGAACGGTGCGATTACTGACAGCAGCGGACGTGGTTGTGTCGTGACCAGTAAGTCTTGAAATCGGACGATGCTAAAGCGAGAAACAATGCTAATCAGTTGTATGCCGACAGGTTCTGTGACCCAGTTCCAGTGTGACTTGGGTTATACCGCCCAGACTGGCTTCTCAATTTCTTCCGGCGGTCAGCTGGAGTACCAGGGCGACTCTACCTTTGTGGCATGCCAGACGGGTGACAACGGTGAATTAAACATCTATACCACTGAGAGCTCCTCGGTGACTGGATGCTCGAGCATCACGCTGGCCGCCGACTCTTGCTCGGGTTCCGGTGCTGGTGCTGGTAAGGGCGGCGGCACAGCTACGGCAGTATCATCGGTTCAGGTGCCCGGCCAGTCTGGCAAACCTGGCTCGGTTCTTCCAGGTCAATCATCTTCCTACATTCCGGGTGGCGCTGCTTCAAGTGCACCCGTGCCTGGCGGGGTTTCCCCAGGTCAATCCTCTGCTTCCGTTCCTGGTGGCGCTGCTTCAAGCACACCCGTGCCTGGCGGGGTTTCCCCAGGTCAATCCTCTGCTTCCATACCGGGTGGTCCCATCTCCAGTGCACCAGTGCCTGGCGCTGGATGTGCCTCCGCTCAGACAGTTACCGTCACCGCTACCGTGATTCAATCCAATTGCGCAGCAGGAACTTCTGGTGTTCCGGTACCGATTCCAATTCCTGGTTCTAGTGTTTTAGGCGTTCCTCAGGGTACACAACCTGCCGGCACTCAACCCGCAGGCACTCAGCCCGCTGGAACTCAGCCCGCTGGAACTCAGCCCGCTGGCACCCAGCCCGCTGGCGGTACTCAGCCCGCTGGAACCCAGCCCGGAGGTGGAACTCAGCCTGCCGGCACTCAGCCTGCCGGCACTCAGCCCGCTGGAACTCAGCCTGCCGGCACTCAACCCGCGGGAACTCAACCGGCTGGAACTCTACCCGGCGAAACTGCACCTGGTGGAACCCAACCCGCTGGAACTCAGCCTGCAGGTACTCAACCGGCTGGCACCCAACCCGCTAGCACTCGGCCCGGTCAGCCTGGCGTGACTCAACCTGCTGGCACCCAGCCTGTTCCTGTTCCGATCCCAATTCCTGGAACTACTCAGCCCGGTGGAACTCAGCCCGCAGGCACTCCACCCGCTGGAACTGCACCTGGTGGAACTCAGCCCGCAGGCACTCAGCCCGCAGGCACTCAGCCTGCTGGAACTGCGCCTAGTGGAACTCAGCCCGCTGGAACTGCACCTGGTGGAACTCAACCTGCAGGCACTCCGCCCGCTGGTACTCCGCCCGCTGGTACTCCGCCCGCTGGTACTCCGCCCGCTGGTACTCCGCCCGCTGGTACTCCGCCCTCTGGAACTGCATCCAGTGGAACTCAGCCCGCAGGCACCAAGTCCGCCGGAACCACAACTGGTGGAACGCAGCCTGCCGGGACGCCGCCCGCTGGTACTCAGCCTGCCGGTACTAAATCCACCGGAACCCAGCCTGCGAGCACTCAACCTGCTCCCTCAGGAACATCCGGAGGCTCCAGCAGTACTCAACCATCAGCTTCCGCTACTCGGTCAGGCGCTGCCAGCTGCCCAACTGATCTGTCAGGTGACTATGAGTATCCTCATCTCATTGTTCCTGTCAACTCCTCCACCCCTGATACCGCCTATGGCTCTCAGCTCTTCGGCACCGTTTCGTCCACAGTGTCGACCATCTTCAATTTTGATATCCCATCTTCTGACGCCGGCAAGACATGCAGCCTCATCTTCTTGTTCCCTAACAAGGAAGACCTCGAGACCTCTGATTACACCTTCAGTGGTGACGGCAAGGTTGACTTCTCTCAGCTGACGTCTGCTGCTGGGCTGAAGACCACTTATAACACCGCTCCGTCAGTCAAACAGGACTATGGAGAAATCACCATTTCACCCGGAAACTCCTACCTGGTTGCCTCTTTCTCGTGCCCGGCTGGTCAAACCGTGGGTTATGAAATGAAGGGAACCGGTGACACCTACCTCAACTTCTTCGAGGACTACAACCCATCTCCGTGAGTATACTCTGATGAACGTCTATTGAAAGACCTTCAGCTAACCATAAGCTATAGTCTCGGTCTGTTTATCACCGTCTGTTAACTTGGTTTTCTCAACGGGTCATCCTTCGGACCAAACGCGAACATGAATCCTGGACCCATACTTTACTCCTTTTCGTTTCTTAATTTACACTGAATATTCCCTTCTAGCTCTGGCAATATGATTCTTTTCTTTGATTTATGGCACACAGATGAGAGCCGGCAATGATGGTCAAACGATTATAAGAGGTTTCTGATTGAGAGGCTGTCTTACTGCCAGCCAAGGTAGTTTTTGAATGATAATGTACTATATCGAATGTCATTTCGGCTCATGACTGCCACTGAGGAGTCTTTGCAGTTGTTCTGGACTCGTGGTTAGCTAGTACGATGGGCTGGTCTCCGGGTGGAGTCCTAAGAAAGACAAGACTTTAGGCAGCATCATTTCAGGGTTGGTAATTTTTGTATGTGGGTTCCAGATCCCGCCGGATACCAACTCATTATTTTTTCCTGGACGGTATAATGCACGTAACTTGTGTTCGAACCAAGGGTTAGACTTCTTTCTTAAGATATGATATTCGTAAGTGATGGCTCGTTTTCAGAGGAGCTAAATAGGAACAAAGTAAATATACTTAATCCTAATGATATGTATGCAGTCTTACTGAGGAATCGAGTGTGTGTTTTGATGATCTGGGGACTCGTTGTGACAGCTCCAAGATACCTGTTATTTCTCTGAATTTGCAACCGGCATCCAGCAGCCCTATGGCGTGTACGTGCAGAAGTGGCTGAGCGGCTTGTCAAACATTGCGGGGGTGGAGGCTGTAGGCGGTTGTCCTTGGGGCGGTCAATCCTCCGTAACTTACTCTAGGTATTTATACCCAGCCGCTGATACCAAGAGACCAAGGCTTTATTCACGCTGATCGTGCGGCGATGCCAACCATTTTAAGTTCGCCCACCCGCGGGCCTGCAATAAAGCAAACGTTTTTCAGATCTCTTGACTTCTTCTCTCAATTATCTCTCCCTTTCATCTTCTGTACTTCGTACGTTTCGTACATCGTATTGTAGACGAACGTTTGGTAGCATCTGGGTTTTCTTTCAATTGGACTCCTCTCCCTTTGTTGATTGGTATTTCGAATGGCAGCAACCTAGCTGATTGATCCCCTCACGTGCTCGATTTCCCTACCCTACACAACAGCCATCAGACGTAAATTCTCAACAACAATATCAACAAATTACTTGCTAGACATAGCTTCGTTTCTTGGTTATCTGCTTTGATTCTGTGGAACTTTGAATATCGCTAGGCGCTGCGTTCATTGCATGATGAATCGCCTGCCCGACAAGCTGCTCTTTTCCAAGCAGCGCCTGAGACCGCGGGTTGTGCTTTCGTAAGTCCAGACGGAGGCCTGCTCTGCCTACTTCATCCAAACCCAGAACAATGGCTAACGCTTTCTTGCTCCAGATACATCGCGGACTATGTTATACTCGTGTTTGTCCACATCATGAACCGACCGTCAGGAATTCCTGCTAACAAGACTGCTGCACCAGTGTCTGTATTGCTGGGTTCTATGCTCTCGACTCCATTGAACCCTACCACCAACATTTCTCGCTACGAAATATCTCCATCCAGTATCCATATGCCGTTCACGAGCGTATCACGATACAGGAAGCTCTTTGTATCTCTGGAGTGGCGCCTTTAGTCATCATTGCCGTCTATACCCTTCTTATAGATGGTCTCTTCTCCCACAACAAACCACAGGATCCAGTATCCGGCAAACGGAAATTCTCAGGCCCGTATCGGTGGAAGGATCGACTATGGGAGTTTAACTGTGGGATACTGGGGCTCCTGCTCTCTCAGGGGCTGACGTTCGTCATCACGCAAGCATTGAAGAACGCCTGTGGCAAGCCTCGGCCCGATTTTATTGATCGATGCCAGCCACGCGCAGGAAGCCAGGATGCAATCCCAGGCTTGTCTAACTCTACCATCTGCACGGGCGAACATGCGCTCATCAAAGACGGCTTCCGTTCATGGCCATCAGGTTCGACAATACTGCAAACACTTTGAAACTGATCGTATGCTGACTTATAAGAACAGGCCACAGTAGCTGTAAGATTGTCTCTGCAATACCAAAAGATTGAAACTGATCCCTGACTCGACCTACCTTACAGCGTCGTTTGCTGGTTTGTTCTACCTGACGCTCTGGATGAGTGGCAAACTGCATATAATGGACAACAAAGGTGAGGTCTGGAAAGCACTCTTGGTCATGATACCGAGCCTGGGTGCTACTCTTGTTGCGGTGAGTCGGATTATGGATGCGAGACACCACCCCTTCGACGTCATCACTGGATCGCTTCTTGGGATCCTCTGCGCCGTTATCTCCTATCATCAGTATTTCCCACCTCTTTCACAGCCCTGGAAGAAAGGTCGCGCGCATCCGATCCGCAGCTGGGGGACCGAGCCGCTACCCCCGTCAGAGCCATTGAACATGGTGAGATTCGAAGATAGTACTGCGGCGCTCCGTCACCCGGCAGAAGACAGTCAGTCGAAGCCGATGGTTGGTGCAGACAATGGCGCGGCTTATGTTCCCACATCCAATCCCTACGCTACAAATATGTACACTCGTCGATCGCAGGATGAGGACGGGAATTGGTCCTCATCTAGCGAGGACGTCCACGCAAATGGCTATGAGATGCAGTCTGGGTATGCTCGAGCACGCAACCCAGGACTGGGTGGATCGATTCCACAATACGAGGTCGACACAACGTATGACTCGCAACTACCACAGGCGGCCACAGCTCTCCATGCACCCACACGAGTGATGACTGCTCAGCTTGATCGAGGGCGGGATCTGACTGAGCTGCACTCGCGGGAAGTATAAGGCACCGGACGGGGCTACCCCGGTCGCCTCAACGCGAGGGGGTTTCATTATGTTGCCATTTATAGAACATATACCAGTACACTTGCATGTAACATTTTTTCGGGCTCTTACCGTGATGATAATCTTGGTTTATTTTTCTCTCTTTGTCTTGTCTTCACGTTTTCTTTTTCGGGGAAAAGCGTGGCTATCAGTCACGGAAGGTACATTATTGAGTTCAAACAACAGGCGGGAAAATGACAGAGACAACAACATTCGCTCCGAATGGCCAGAAGTTCTATGGTCTACTTACGACCATGGATTAGCGGGCGGTAAGTGGGCTTTTCTTGAGGATTTAATGAGTCGATCGATGATGAAACCGCAGGCGGTGATCACAGCGCAGTATTTGCGGCATGTACTGTACCGGTTGTACAAACTGTACACAATGTACATACTTTGCTACGCTATCTATTTTCTGGAAGGTCATGATTACCTCGCTGACGCCGACTGACTCTCTCTTCGCCTCGGATACTTACTCCATGATAATCGATCGAGTAATTGAGGTTGTCCCTGATGATCATTGACGGCTGGCTCTAGACTTTCTTTCTTCCCGTCGTGGCGGCCCCACCGATGACCGGGTCTTGTTGTTGTTGCTACAGTAAACAATCATAACAATTGCCATGATGCTCATGGGCCAACAACAAATAAGGTAACGTTATCTTGAACTAATTTAGTCTATATCTACGTACTGCTTAATTGGAAGGTCAACCGCTTCAATGTCATCATAGTCAGGCTGTGGTGAGACGCAGCGAGCCGCCCTTGTAACGACTTCATCGACTGTTCTCCCAGCCACCCCGCGTCCTCAGTCGCCCAGCCTCCCCTCTTCCTTTCTCCGACGTGCATATTCTTCCTCCGACCGACCCATTCTTTTCTTTCCATCTACCAGTTTTCTCCTGTTGAGTTCTGTCTTCTGGGATGCATCATCTGCACCCTTGCTTCTCTTTTATCTAACTGCGTGTGGGTTTCTCTCTCGTGCGTTTTCAAAGAATCGAGCTACATTTAGACCGGCTCCTAACCGATCCCCTCACTACTCGCTATACGCTGTCCGGCGCAACGTCAGAGCCTGGTTGTACCTTGTTCCGACCTTGGTCTCATTTTCATTCCTATCGCCCTCCCCGTCCATCGCCAATCTTCATTGAGTGTATGATGACGTTGTAGCTGTTCGCCAGCCCGTTTGTTTAATCTGACCTTGCAGCCATCTGAATTTCGATAGACCTTCTTGCACCCAATTCAGCAACTGTTAAGTCGAGCTGATTCGCGCGCATTGTGCGAATAACAACAGGCAAGATGATTGGCAGTCTCTTCTTCATCCTCAATCGGCTCTTAGAGCTTATTCTTCTAATTCCGATCATCGGAATGATGGTAGGCACATTCCACAGCTAGAATTGAGCCCTCCCGAGTATTGCAACTGACATCCGGACGATAGGCCTACTTTGTCAACGGGTATCTGAACGCAAACATGATTACCCCGGCCTATATCCTAGTCATCTTCATTGTCAGCGTCATTGCGGCTTTCTGGTGTATCGATACCATGATTCGTATTTCAACCACTCGACGTTCAGCGATGTTCGTCGCATTCGTGGATCTACTATTCTTCGGCGCATTTATCGCAGGGGTCTACGAGCTGCGATTCATCACGAATGCCGACTGTGCGCACTGGAATGGAGGCTCAGTGTACATTTCGCTTGGTCCCTTCGGATACTATGGCTACACCTCGGACAATCCGCTGTCATTCCACATCAACAAAACATGCGCGATGCTCAAAGCTTGCTTTGCATTGGGGATCATCGAGGTGATTCTGTTCTTCTGGACGGCGATACTGGCGATGATGATCTACCGCCGACCGGACACGGTTGTCAAGGAGACGACTGTGCGGCGCCGCAGTCACAGCAGTCGACGCGGTCATAGGCGCCACAGCAGCTCGCGCAGCCGACATCACTATGAAGTCTAGGATTGATTTCTCTCATTTACGACTTTACGGACTACGATGGAATGGTATATGGTTAATGATGGAGATTGTTGATGATGCACAAAGGGCCGGATTGGGGTTTAGGCCCATGGAGAGATGCGATCGCGCTCACGACTTACGAGAAACTGTTTCCTTTGATACTATGTTTGCATCTACCAGCTCAAGCACATACTTTGACTGTGCTTCTCTCTGAAAGATATACCGCATGATCTTGTGCTCGATTGCAGCCCCGGGGATGTTAATGCTTCGTACGGCTGTTCTATGTGTCATATGATTTTGTTTTGAAATGAATATCTACATTGTAGTTTGTGCCTTGTATTGAGGCCTCCACTTTTGAGGAAATCATCTAGTCCTGAAGAAGAATGATGCAAGCCAGGATCATCGGATCTGGCCGCCGCTCCCCGCGCTCGATAAGAAAGCAGGAGTGGGGGAGTTTGACTTCTCCTCCGCTCTAGTGCCTTAAAACAAAGTATAACATTTCGCACTGTCACACAGATTTCTGCTCAACTTCTTATCCTCGGTCGCCCAACAGTTCCCCGCTATCGCCTTAGGAACATTCTTCTGACTTTTTGGATGTTCCTGCTGCCGAGGGTCGAATAATTGTCGGTGGCGAACCGTTGGAGCTCAGGTTCGGTAAGCTCCGATAACCAGCCTTATCGGCCCAAGTCATTGAAATAAAGTACTAGTTAGGCGTTTGTTCCTGACACCATCATCCCGTCTTGCTCGATAACTACGTGTGACTACAGAGTTCGCCATTATCTAACTCTTCTTTATTTCAAATCTTCCCTTCCTTGATCATCACGCAAGCCCCCCTCCCGATCATTGTATGTGGTGAGTGTGCAAGAACAACCGGTCGCCACCCCGATCTCGATTCTCCACGGCGATGCCCACCTCGACTGTATACTCCACAAACAATCGTTCTTGAGCTCTGATGCTGCTCACGCTGCTGCAGACTGTTGGGCAAGATGGGTGACTATGGAACGAAAGAAAACGGGTCTGAATACAGTCGAAGCTATCCGGAAGGCATAGATGTCATTCGGGAGCGCGAATACCCCTTGCTGAAAGGTTCGACTACTGGACTCAGCTAGCCTCACACACAAGAAAGAGCAATTTATTGACACCCTTGGCTTCTCTAGATACTACCTACCTTGATCATGCCGGGACGACCCTATATGCAAAGTCTCTAATCGACTCGTTTTCGCGTGACCTCACTTCCAACATCTACGGCAACCCGCATTCACTGTCCGCGCCCTCCCAACTATCGACGCAGCGAATAGACGACACACGTCTACGAGCTCTTCGATTCTTCAACGCTGACCCCCAAGAATTCGATCTCGTCTTTGTGGCCAACGCTACAGCGGCTATTAAATTGGTCGCTGATGCCCTCCGTGATGCAACGCCCCAAGGGTTCTGGTATGGATACCATGTCGACGCGCACACGAGCTTGGTTGGGGCTCGTGAGCTCGCAGCGCTCGGGAGTCGATGTTTCATGTCCGACGATGAGGTTGAGCGCTGGATGTCTGGGTTGGATTCTGCCTCCGCTGAGGGCAACCGGCTGTTTGCGTTTCCTGCGCAGTCCAACATGAACGGTCGTCGGTTCCCGCTTCAATGGTGTGGAAAGATCCGTACCGTGTCTTCCCAGAGGGTCTATACCATGCTCGATGCCGCTTCCCTGGTCTCCACATCTCCCCTCGATCTGAGCGACGCGGCAAACGCACCCGATTTCACGGTTCTCAGTTTCTATAAGATCTTCGGATTTCCGGACCTTGGGGCGTTGATTGTCCGCAAGAATGCAGGGCAGGTCTTTGATAAGCGGAGGTTCTTTGGTGGTGGGACTGTGGATATGGTTCTCACGCACGAGACGCCCTGGCATGCGAAGAAGCAGTCTTCGATACACGAACGGCTGGAAGATGGGACTCTGCCATTCCATAACATCATCGCGCTGGATCTGGCTTTCGAAACGCACACGCGCCTCTTCGGCTCGATGAGCAATGTCTCGTCGCACACGCGCTTCTTGGCCAGGAGATTACATGATCGTATGGTTGCTTTGCGGCATCATAACGGGGAGAGAGTCTGCCATGTTTATAAGTCGGCCCACGCGGACTATAGTGATTCCTCTTTGCAAGGTCCGATTCTGGCATTCAATCTGCGGAATAGTCAGGGTACGTGGATTGGTAAGTCCGAGGTGGAGAGACTGGCAGGCATCAAGAACATTCAGATCAGATCTGGTACGCTTTGCAACCCTGGAGGCACAGCGGCTAGTCTGGATTGGAGTGGTGCCGACATGCTCCGGCATTTCTCCCATGGGTTGCGTTGCGGCGATGATCATGATATCATGGACGGGCGACCGACTGGCATTTTGAGGGCCAGCCTTGGTGCGATGAGCAGCTTGAAGGACATCAACACTTTCGTGGCTTTTTTGGAAGAGTTCTTTGTGGAGAAGAGTCTCGATGTGTGTACTCTGGCACCGCCAGTAGACAACAACCTCATCCAGCAGCCAGAGTTCTATGTGGAGAGTCTATCAATCTACCCCATCAAGAGCTGCGCTGCATTCAAAGTGCCTGACGGTATACGCTGGGAGATCCACCCGGAGGGACTGGCATGGGACAGGGAATGGTGCTTGATCCATCAGGGAACTGGTGTGGCGCTCAACCAGAAGAGATATCCGCGCATGGCGCTGATACGGCCGGTCATCGACCTTGCTGGCGGATTCTTGCGGATCACTTGCGGCGGCGCATCCTCTACACATGGAAAATCCCTAGAAATCCCCCTTCATCGTGGAAACCTGAACCTCGTAACCACCTCGCTATGTCAGAACTCCTCCGAGCCCTCCACCGTCTGTGGTGATCAAGTCATCGTGCAGGCCTATACATCGCACGAAGTCTCCTCGTTCTTCTCCAACTTCCTGGGTGTGCCATGCACCCTCGCGCGCTTCCCCCCGCAGTCGTCGACGACGAGATCTGCTTCCTCAACCGGCCCGCTCATCAATAGAAACTCGCCTTTGCGAGCGCGGACGACAATGCCCGGCTCCTTTCCGCAAGATCCCCAGCTGGCGTCGCCGCAGAATCCCATCCTCTTGTCCAACGAGAGTCCGATCCTCCTCATCTCGCGCTCCTCCGTCAACCGCCTGAACGAGGCGATCAAGCGCAACAACACCGCGAGCGGCGCCGGCGGCAATGGCAGCAGCAACAAAAAAGCCGTCGCCGCCGATGTGTTCCGCGCCAACATCGTGGTCGCGGAGAGAATCCCCAGGCCGGCGAACGCCGAGAGGCCTTACGTTGAAGATGAGTGGCAGAGCGTGCGCATTGGTGGCCCCGACGGTGTCCCGTTCAATGTTTTGGGGTCGTGTCAACGGTGCCAGATGGTATGCGTGGATCAGTACACTGGCGTCCGTGGGGATGAGCCCTATTCGACGTTAGCGAAGACGCGGAAGGTCGGGAATAAGATCTACTTTGGACGGCATCTTGGGTTGGCTTCGTTGGGGGCCGTGGACGAGGAGGAGGCCTCCGCCGTATCTCGGAAGGTCATGGTTGGTGATACTGTGGATCCGTCTTTTGGCCCGTGACTGATTGTATAATCGGACTATGGGGCTATGTTTTGCATATGAATATAGGGCGTTTTAAGGGCATTTGGGTTGTGTGCAATACCAGATACCGGATAAGCAGAGTGGAATTGAATGTTGGGATAGGGCACTCAAATGCATGACTTGATATAGAACAATATAGCGATTTGTACAAACAGATAACTCCCGTTCCGAAACATGATGACGATGATGACGAATGAGGATGATGATCAATCAAAGCCCACCCGGGTTTGGTCATGTAGTAACCTGAATCCATCCCAGGCCCTGGCAGTCAGCCCCCAATAACCTTCAAACATTAGTTGAGTTCGGAGAAACCGTATCGAGACGAGAAGCGCGGCAAAAAACGGGGTGCATAAAGCCCCCAAGAAGAAATGAAAGCGAGAGACCGCTCTATTTCTTGGGCCACTGCTTCCAACCACGACCATGACCTCTCTGTAATGAAACAAAGAACACATTAGCAATCCAATCCATACACCCTCCTAATTCTAAAACTCCAACCCATCCGGGGTTCAAAACGTACCTGCTTCCACAACCGCACCATCTCGGGCATCTCGAGCATGGCCTTGCGCCGGTCCTCGAGGCGCGCCTCCATGGTGCGTTCCCACTTGTGGCCCTTGACCTTCTGCCCGACACCGGTACCCTTGATGGCCAGGCCCTGGTTCTCGGCGCGGCGGGCCTCCTTGTACTCGGCCGACTTGCGGCTGGGCGGGAGCAGCTCCTCGACCCCAAACTGGCGGGCCAGCTTCACCAGCTCCGCCTGCCGGCGCAGGCCGATCTTGGGGCCTTCCCACTTCCGCTCGCCCAGCTTCCGCGGCAGGAACGGATTGAGCCGACCCTTGGGACCCTTCCACAGCAGCGCGTCCGAGTACTTGTGGTCCGGCGGCTGGTAGCCCTTCGCTTCGCGGTTCGGGGTGTAGGGGGATGGGAGGAGGGATTCGGTGATCGCGTCGGTGACCGGGGAGATGCTGCTGGAGGTGGTGGTTGTTGTGGTTGTGGATGTGGTGGTGTTCGTGGTGGTCGTGGTGTTAGGGGCTGCGGCGGCCGCCGCCTGAGCAAGTGCAGCTGGCTTGGGGACTTCGATCGGAGGGCGGACGGTCGTGGAATAGATTTGCGGAGGATAGCGGGCGAAGAAGTTGCGGAGGCGCGTGGGCAGTTTGGTCGCCAGGCTGCTGGCGGCTTGCGGGGCGGCCATTGTGAGGGTTGGAGGGTTTTTCCCCTTCGGTGGGTTACTCCTCGAAGAATTGGAAGTCGGGAGGGACTTGTGAATGGAGGGGAGGGGGACGAGGAGGGAAGAGTTAAGCGTTGAAGTCGTGCTCAGGAAACTGCCGCGCTATCTTTTCCACCACTTTTGATTGCTTTGCATTCAAAACCCAGACGGTTGAAAGGCGGCGCTAGTCTGTTTTGGGAAGGAAGAGAGAGGAGAGAAAAACAAATGGAAGCCTGAGGCAGCAGAAGGCAGCCTGGAAGGTTAGATCGGGCTGGCGGAAGCGACGGGCAGAAAAATGCCCGCCCGCAGAAGGGAAACTTCAGCAGAGAAAACAGAAATCCGAAGAGGCTTAGTTCCGTCCGCAAGTACGTCGACTAGCCTGGAGTGTGCAAAGGTCCAAGGTTCATCCGTCTTCGCTACTTACGCTTGTCGCCTTTCCTCCTTGCGGGATTCACCAACTCTGACTCCTTCTTCTCCACCCCCCACCCTTGTTGTTGGATCGTGTCTCTTGTTGTGTTGTTTGGTTGCTTTTGTTGATCTCTCCTCCTTTCTCGATTATCTGTCCCCGGATTCTTAGGAATTTCAACTTCAAATCCGTACAACGACCACCCCCGCTCATACTGCTGCCATCATGGCGGACTACAATTATGGAGGCTCCGAGGAAGAGAATGCGGAGTTGAGGAAGCTTGAAGTTGAATTGGTATGAACTGGTTCTCCCGTTTAGCTCTTTGCGCTCTCTGGAGGTTACCCTGGACCCCACGAGCTGACCCTGGCTTTTCCTTCTAGCTCGATGATCCCGATAACTTCGAGACATGGGAGAAACTTGTTCGCGCTGCCGAGGCTTTGGAGGGTGGCATCAACCGCAACTCCAACCCCCAAGCTATTACCACCGTCCGCAATGTTTACGACCGCTTCCTGGCCAAGTTCCCTCTGCTGTTCGGATACTGGAAGAAGTATGCCGACCTGGAATTCTCCCTCACCGGAACCGAAGCTGCAGATATGGTACGCATGGCACACCTGCTTCCTAACGATCTGTGGGGTAGTCGCTAATAGCTACAGGTCTATGAGCGAGGTGTTGCTAGCATCTCCCCCTCGGTCGATCTCTGGACCAACTACTGCTCCTTCAAGGCCGAGACTTCTCACGACGCTGACGTGATCCGAGAGTAAGTATAACTAGATCTGCTTTTTCCTTCCTTGCCCTCGTAACCATGATCAACGCAGCACGGACATTGTTGTTGTACCGAACCTGCGGGGTGCAAATCTCCGCTGGCAACAGTTCCCTCAATGATGGGTGAGATTTCACCTTACCCGGGTTCCAAGAAAAAAAAAAACTGGAGTTTACTTCTCACCCATGGCTTATTCAGGCTGTCCTATCTCCCTCCCCCTCTTTGAAAGAAGTTTTGAATTATCTGATTTGACGTCTCAACCACCTTGCCCTGCACGAATATCATCGGCTGTGTTCGGTGACGCCTACTCTGCGCTCGGTGCAGAAGGAGGGAAAACAGACGTTCTCATCCACCGTTCTCACCACTTGGTTGTTCAATTGTTCGGACTCGCAGGCATTGGAAATCTGATGCTCATGTTTGCTATCCTTGTCATCTTCTCCCCTTCCTCCCCCGCATCCTCCTCCTACTCCCCCTCTAACTGGTCTCTGACCTTCAGCTCGGAATGGCTTGCTAACATTTCTCTCATTTGTGCTCAGGCTTTTTGAACGTGGTGCAAGTAGTGTCGGCTTGGACTTTTTGGCACACCCGTTCTGGGATAAGTATATCGAGTTCGAGGAACGTGTGGAGGCCGTTGACAAGATCTTCGCTATCCTGGGTCGGGTAATCCACATCCCCATGCACCAGTATGCCCGGTACTTCGAGCGGTATAGACAATTGGCGCAAGCTCGGCCCGTCGCCGAATTGGCATCACCCGAAACGTTGTCGCAATTCCGTGCGGAGCTCGACGCCGCTGCAGGTCAGATTGCTCCTGGTGCAAAGGCCGAGGCTGAAGTTGAAAGAGATCTCCGACTGCGCGTCGATAGTCACCACCTTGAGATTTTCTCCAAGACCCAGACCGAGACCACCAAGCGTTGGACTTACGAGTCGGAGATCAAGCGTCCATACTTCCATGTAACTGAGCTGGATGAAGGTCAGCTATCGAATTGGAAGAAGTACTTGGATTTTGAGGAGTCCGAGGGATCTTATGCTCGTATCCAGTTCTTGTACGAGAGGTGTCTCGTGACTTGCGCTCACTACGATGAATTCTGGCAGCGTTATGCCCGCTGGATGGCCGCTCAGCCCGGCAAGGATGAGGAAGTCCGCATTATCTACCAACGTGCAAGCTGCTTGTACGTGCCGATTGCCAACCCGGCAACGCGGCTGCAGTATGCCTATTTCGAGGAGATGAGCGACCGTGTGGATGTTGCCAAGGAAATTCACGAGGCCATCCTGATCCATCTTCCAAACCACGTGGAGACGATAGTATCTTTGGCCAACATGTCGCGTCGCCACGGCGGACTTGAAGCTGCCATTGAGGTGTACAAGACTCAGCTTGACTCGCCACAGTGTGACCTCGCCACAAAGGCGGCTCTGGTTGCCGAATGGGCTCGCCTTCTGTGGAAGATCAAGGGCTCGTCCGAAGAGGCTCGTCAAGTCTATCAAAAGAATCAGCAATACTACCTGGACAGCCGTCCGTTCTGGACGAGTTATCTTCACTTCGAACTCGATCAGCCCACGAGTGCGACCTCCGAAACGGTCCAATACGAGCGCATCAAGCAAGTTGTCGACGAAATCCGGACTAAGAGTTCCCTCCCCGCTCAAGCAGTGCGAGAGCTTGTGCAAGTCTACATGGTTTATCTGCTGGAACGCGGCACCAAGGATGCGGCGAAGGAGTACATGACCCTTGATCGGGAGGTCCACGGGCCTGCCTCGGTATCGCACATGCAGGCCACTGAGGCAGCGTCAGCACCAGCCCCGGTGGCAGCCGCCCCGGTGACCCCAGCGACGGCGGAAGTAGTTGTTCCTACACCCCAAGCCAACCCTTATGCTGGTTACTACCAGCAGGCGCCTGTCAACGGCGACGCGTGAGCTCTTCCCCCGATTCACTATATCAGCCTGAGCTTGCCACAGCCCAGGTTTGTTAACTCCTGATATCCCTTTTACGGTGGTTGGTTTCCCTTTTTCCCAGTTCAAGCCGGCAACGGCTTGTCGATGTGTAGAACAATAGCCCCTCAATCTATTTCCCCAACCTATTTTATTGATTATGCAGCTTTCAGCGACTCAGGCGTGTTGAGGGAGGGAGGAGCAAGTGATCTGTCTAGTGGGGGCAATTGAATCAGCCTGCTCCCTGACTGCTTCCCAACGATTTCATGTGAAACTGGGTGGCCTATTATGAGAATTGGACACTGTCTCCATTGTATTCTAATGCGTAGGTAGCTTCTACTTTTTACTTTTCCTCTTATAACACTAACCACCAATGCAAATGACTGTGTTGTGAATGTCCAGCTTCGAGGTCAGCTCCTCGACTGCCTTACCACAGACCCTTCGGAATGGATAAATGGCAAGTGGATCCATGCTCAGTATTGCCGAACCGTCCAATGACAGACCTTAGTTCGACTCGTAAATCTACTTGAATAAGATATTTAGGTGTGATTGGGCCAAGCTGGCAAGTTCAGCCTCAGCTAGTAGACTTACTAGACAACTGAGTGTCAGCACGAGTTCCCATGCTTATGACAGGTCCCACCGTCGTAGGAAGAGGGTCGGGGATCTCGGGATTACTGATTAGTGCTGGAGATGGCGCTGTCGATTTGGGACATGAGAAACTATTTAGAATCCTTCTCTCGTATCTTCCTCAGTATCTCTCCCTAATGTTTTTCTTTTTCCAGAAGGGGTCATCGCGAAGAGATACCAATTAGCACAACGTCAATGATGGCCGTGTCAATCGACCTGGCTGACCTCACCAGACAGCATGGCCCTCTTCTTGCCTTGGCTGGCGTGAGCGCCCATCTCCTCTATTGGATCCGCGGGGAACGCAACAACAAAGAGATCCGTACCTGGTTGTTGTGGCATGTGATTGTGAATATCGCCCTTTTGGGCTTCACTCTGGTGAACACCCACCCGCAGCAGTCTCCCTGGAGTATCGGCGCATTCCTCCGCGGTCTCTCCACGATATCTCTACTAAACCTTTACTTCTACGGACCTCTCTTCGTCTCCATTCTAGTCTACCGGGCGTTCTTCCACCGTCTCCGTCGTTTTCCAGGCCCAGTCGCCCTGAAGCTATCGAAGCTCGTAGCGGCGTATGGCAACATCGGAAAGGAACGGGACTTTGAGCGCATCTGGAACCTCCACAAGCAGTATGGCGATATCGTCCGAACGGGGCCCCAGGAACTCAGCGTCTTGTCGGCCGACGCAATCGAGGTCATCTACGGCGCCTCGAGTCGGTGTACCCGCGCCATCTGGTATGATCGCTTGAAAGCCGCGGGGGATTTCTCCGAGGACTTTGCGGTGTTCCATATGCGAGATCCGGTAGCTCATACGCAGCGCAGAAAGGCGCTCTGGGATAAGGCATTCAATATTCGAGGTTTGTGTGTCCTGCTTGTCTCTTTTGGCATTAAGAGTGATCGATGAGAGATGGGCCGAGGGTCGAAGTGAGGGTGTGCTAACTTTTTGCTACTGAACTTTAGCTCTCAAGTCCTATCAGCCTGTGGTCGTCAAGACCACGGACCGGTTCCTAGATGCTCTGCGTCAACGAGCTGGTCAAGTGGTCTCGGGTCCGGATACGATGCAGTTGCTAAGTTATGATCTCATGGGCCTCATTGGTTGGGGGTATTCGTTCGAGAACATTGAGAACTGGAAGCTCAATCCGGCACTGCACTTTGTGAGGCAGGTCACTGCCGGTCAGCGGATCATCTCGCAGGCGCCGTGGCTGATGAGTCTTCTGGTTAACCTGCCTGGAGCAGATTCGCCGCTTCAGCGTTACGGCGCGTGGATCGAGGCGCG